ATCTTATTTTAGGCATTGAGGTTGGGAACAATGGTGTGATTATATCACACTTACAGTTTGCAGATGGTACCATAATTTTTTGCGATCCAAATGCAATGGAAATTAGTAGATTATGGATATTTCTAAAGAGTGTTGAAATTGCAACTGGGTTGAAAGTAAATATCTCTAAACCAAGTTGATCAGAATTGGATGTCCTCAAAACATAGTGTCAAGGATGGCTGGACTACTAGGATGTGGTGTTGAGAATATTCCTTGCAAATATTTGGGTATCCCTTTGGTGAATTCGAGGCCCTCAAAATCTATTTGGGATCCAGTGGGAGAGAGATCCAATAAGAAATTATATTTGTGGAAGGCAAAGACTTTGTCTCTAGGAGGTTGATATACACTTATCAAATCTACTCTATCTAACCTTCTGGTCTACTATATGCTTTTATTTTGATTGCCTACGCAGATTGTTAGCATTCTAGAGAGGCTTATGAGGAACGTTTTGTGGGGAGATAATGAAAAAAAAGAAGGGGCTTCATTTGGTTTGTTGAGCTACGGTGTGCGCACCTATAAAAGATGGTGGTTTGGGATTTCATAAATTGAAGAACATGAACTTTGCATTACTCTTAAAATGGTGGCGAAGAGCACATATCCACCAAGAGTTATTTTGGGTAGAAATTTTGAAAGAAAAATATGGGATCGAGAAGGTTTATGGTATTATACATAGTCCAAGGAATAAAGCCACTCTTTACCATATTTGAAGGGGATTGACCTTGAGAGACCTATATATCTTCGTCATTTTCAATAAGTAGTGCGTAATGAGGAATCTACACTTTTCTGGTACGATAAATGGTTTGATGACTACCCTCTTATATACCTTTTCCCTGAGGTGTTCTCTTAAGTCTCAAACCCACTAGCTATGGTAAAAGAGGCTAGTGGGGATGCTCATACGAACATTGTTTGGTCTATTCATTGCAGGCACAGGAGAATAACCGATAATTTTATCCATAAGTGTCAAACCTTGTTGGACATGTTAAACAATGCTCAGCTTTTCCCTATTCTACATGATGATGTGATTTGGGACCTTACTACCTCAGGTGATTTTTTGATTAAGTCTGCATATGTTCATATCTTCTACAATCGATATAAATAGCACGATTTTGTACTTTCCTAAATAAAGAAACTTCATGTTTCACTTAAAGTTCAGTTGTTTCTATGGATATTTTGTAAGGAAAAGCTGACCATTGTGGATAACTTAAGGAAGAGAGGGTTCATTATACCCAATGTTTGTCTTTTGTGCAAAACTAGTAACTGATACGACATAACATTTATTCCTCTACTGCCATTTCATTTATGATCTTTGGAATTGGGTTCGACAATGTTTTAACTTATCCATTCCAATTCCAAAAGTCTGTAGACTGCTTCTCACTCAATGATTATTCCCTGGTAATCCAAAGGTGGATAATATATTTTAGCATTCTTTCTGGGTAAGTGTCCTTTGGGGTATGTGAAAGGAGAGAAATCAAAGAGTGTTTGAAGGAATCTCTACTGATTTTTCTATGTTAAAATCTAACATTTTAGCCTCAACAATAGATTGGTTTACCTCTCACAAAGATAGTGGCTCTACACCAAAGAGTTTTATCATTAACTACCCCTTAGCAGTCGCGAAATCTAGTCGAAAAGCTATTGTTTGGTCCCCACCTCCTCCGTACTCAATCAAATTGAACTTTGATGACAATAGCTTTGGAAATCTAAGAGCAGCTGGATATGGTGTGTTGATTAGAAATCATTTGGGTCATGTTTTTTGCTCATATTTAAGTCCATGTGGTATTGCTACTGCAAATAAAGCGTAGGCTAGAGGTCTCCTGGAGGGTTTGAAACTTCTTTCACGGTGGAAAGGGCAAATAATTATTGAAGGAGATTCGACAAATGTCATAGCTTGGAGCTATGAAGAATTCAATGTTCCATCAAGCTTTAAAGTATTATTTCATGAGATTAGGAACATCCTTTCTTTGATCAATGCCAATTTGTATCATTGCTTTCGTGAGCGAATGAGAAGGCAGATGCCTTAGCCAAAGAAAGAGCAAACCACATTTCTTTGATTGTCAATTTTTTGTAATTCTTCATCTTCTTTACTTCCTGCATGTTTTGTATTTTGTAGCTCTTTTAATGGAAATGTTGTGTTAATGTTGAAAAGAAAAAAAATCAAAATTTAAGTAATAATAAGAGAAACCATGACAAATATTTAGAGAGATAAACTATCTCAACTATTAAGTTTTATAAAGAGAAAGGACCTGAAAATTATTGAGAGAGAAACTATCTGAAAGTATAATTTTTATAAAGAGAAAGTACCAAAAAACTATAGAGAGGGAAACTATCTCAAATTTTAAGTTTTATAAAGAGAAAGTATCTAGAAATTTTAGAGAGAGAAACTATCTCAAAATTTTTTGGGAGAGAAGCCATTTCATAATTTAAGTCTTAGAGAGAGAAACTATATAATATTTTAAGTTCTAGAGAGATAAAGTACTTAATTTTTTTTAAGAGACTATCCTAAATCTTAAGTTTTAGAGAGAGAGAGAGGCCCTAGAAATATTTAGGGAGAGAAACTATTTTAAAATATTTAGACTGATAAACTACCTCAAATTTTATGTTTTAGAGAGATAAACTATCTCAAATTTTTAGGAGAAAAACTATCTCAAATTTTAAATTTTAGAAAAAGAGAGTACTTCAAAAATATTTAGAGAGAGAAACTATCACAAAATTTTCAAGGAGGGAAGCTATCTCAATTTATAAGTCTTAGAGAGAGAAACTATCTCAAATTGTTTAGAGAGAGAATTTATCTCTAATTTTAATTTTTCAAAAGAGAAAACACTAAAAATATTTAGAAAGAGAAACTATCTCAAATTTTATGCTCTGGAGAGAGAAATTATCTTAAAATTTTATAGAGAAAAACTACATCAAAGTTTAGAGAGAGCAACCATCTCCAATATTAAGCTTTAGAGAGAGCAAGTACCTAACTGATTTTAGAGAGAGAAAATATTTCAAAATTTTTAGAAAAAAAAATTATATCAAAATTTTTAGAGAGAAACTATCTCAAATTTTTTATTTTAGAGAGATAAATTAATTGAAAATTTTTAGAGAGATAAACTACATCTAAATTTTAGAGAGAGAAACTACATCAAATTTTAAGTTTTATAGAGAGAAAGTATATTAAAATTTTAAAGAGAGAAACTATATTAAATTTTAGAGAAAGAAACTACTTAAAGAATTTTTGAATAAAAAAGTGACATTATAATGAATATTAAAATAAATAATATTTAACAAATAAAGTAAAAAAAAAAAAACCATGAAAATGTCATGCATCCATGTACCATCCAAACAACTAATATCTATTTTATCGAAAATATTGTTCTTAAAATATATTTCAAAGAAGATTTTTTGAGGCAATCTTTTTACATGGATCCAAACGGCCCCTTAAGCTAAACGCAAACCTAGCTGTGAACATTAAACATGTTGTTTGAAAGATTTATATACAGACTTTAAAATTTTTCTAAAAAAATGAATTCTAAAAAAATGAATTGCAGTATTTATTGGTAGAAATTACAAAGAAGGTCAACCAACCCACTTTTTTATATTTTTTTCAAAATTGCCCCTCGATCTTAGAATATCCTCGTACCAAATTTTAATTATCTTTTTTGTTTTAGATTTTTATTTATTACGACACTGCCCTAAAGCTTGGAGCACTGCCCTACTAACGAAAAAGCTAAAAAAAATAAAAATTCAAACCGATGATTCCATCATCAGACCAAAAAGTAATTTTGAAAAAATTAAAAAAAAAGTATGCTAACGGAGTAATATCAATAAGTCACTTTAAAATATCACCGTCAGGTACGGGCTGCAGGAACTTCTTAAAATGCCCAATGATTATGGTAATTAATTAGCTTTTAGCAGACCGAGAAACGCAAATTACAATCTAAAAACCTAAGGTTAAAACCAAATTTTCGAGCCACAATACGTACTCTACCCAGAGGCACAAAGATAGTCTCAACCTAGTGGAAAACCCAATGCCATGGTCGAGCCAGTGCTTTTGTTTGCCGCATGAAACCCACAAAAAAGAGTACCGGGCCTTCAAAATCCACTTGACTATATCGTACTAATCCTAGACACTCAGCCCATATGATGCAATCGAGGGTGGAACAAATATACTTCCATGACAGAACTGCGCCTAGTGAAACATTCTTGGAGTCATTGGGGGATAACGCAGCCCTAGACGGTATATCTACATTTTGATGAGAAACTGATAGGTGTTAAATTAGATTCATAGGAAAAAAGTTCCAACCAAAACTGGTTTGAAAAACACTGAGAAAACTTGGCTAACCACCACGAAAACTCGCGTGAGCAGAGTTTTGCCTCTTTAAGCAAATAGGGGTCAAGTGCTCAATAAAAAATGGGGGTTTATATAGACTTGAAATTCAATTTTCATCTATAGTCTGTAGACACAGTGGAGCTGGTGAGATTGGCTGAAACAGTAGGTACGTATCAGAGATAATCGGAAGTTCAAAGTGGGCGGAGTAAGGCCATGATGATTGTGGCAAATCGCAGCATCGTCGCAAATACCATGGCAAACATTTTTTTGGCATTCTGATTGTTTACCCTGAACTTTATGTCTAAAATTTGAATTTAAATCATTCAAACTTGTCATAATTCACTGAAAAGCAAAATGATTTGTCCAAATAATCGTTTGCGTTGATTAGACACAAGATAACTTGCTTAAACACCTAGTATCTCTCATTCCAAGTTGCTTTTAGTCCTGTTTTAAGTTTCAACAAAACAAAAACACGCTGTTCGTACTTCCTATCATCTAGTTTTAAGTTTTGTTAAACTTTTTCCACAAGCGAATCGATATCCTAGGATTGCAACCACTTACTTGCTCTAAATTTAGTGGCCCAAAACATCCAAAAAAAAAAAAAGAAAAAAATTAAAGGACAAGCGCATGGATAGGTCCTGGAGTTTACCTCAATCTGGTCTCCCACGTGCACAACAAGGGCATCAGGAACATAGTCCACAGACACCCAGGACCCATCTTTGATGACTTGAAGGCCAGGTACTTGGTTGGGGAGGAGGATTGTGAGGGCGCTCATATCAGTGTGGGCCTCCACTCCCAAGGCCAGCTCGGGTTGTGGGCATGGGGGGTACAGGTTTATCTTCATCTCCAAGGACATCTCCTCACCACCCAATGCTTCTTTCAAAGCCCCTGCTTCCAGTCCCAACCCCACCGACAGAGCCTCCAGAACCCCCTCCGCAACCCTTTTCATTTCTTCCCCGTACTCCTCTGTCACTTCCCTGAATACAATCACAACAAACACAATCAACCTTTTCCTACCTTTTAATTAAAAGCACCAAACATAAGTTTTTTGACTGTGACTTGGTTCTCCTTTTGATTCTATTCAGATGCCTACCTGTAATTCAGGGGGCTTTTGGGCCATTTGTCGTAATTGACTCTCGATGTTGGCCACATGAAATGGAAGAAGTAGTCGATCCACTCCAGTTTCTGGTCTGGATTCTTCGCAAGCTTGGTACCATACCCTTCGAAGACGCCGCCAGCAAAGTCATTGGCATATTGCTCTTTGTACTCTTGGGGGAGACTGAAGAATCCTTCACCAGCCTCCTTCAGACGACGGAAAAGTTCTGGTGAAATACCATGATCTGTTAATTGGAAGATGCCCCATTCCTCGCTGCCCTTGGCTGCTTGCTTGCAATCCGGAGAAAATGACACCGTGGGGACATGGAGTCCCGTCAGGGCCTTGCTATTTTCCGGCCTCTCGTTCAGGGGCCTGATGAATTGGGGGGGCAGCTTGTCGAGACCAGCCAGAGCCAGCCCTTGCACTCTCTCCGCCACCATCTTCTAAGCTCTTCCTTCTCTATTCACTCTTGGTGCTGCTGAGGCCAATATATATTGACCTGCACACGACATTTGTTTGGTGGCCGGTACGATATTGGCTTCATGGCAAAGAATGTGGAATGGTAGGTGACAACAATAGGGTGGATGCATTCCTTACCGGTAGATTTACAAGCAAACTCGAAATTGGAAGGGTATATGGCCGTGTTTTCTATCATGCCATAACTTTGTACACTACCTTCTTTTTTTTTTGTTTGGTAGTTGGTGTGTTGGAGCCGCGATCCAGGTGTTGAAGGAGGTTTTTCTAGGGAAGAAGGAACGGGACATATCCTGAACTGGAGTTGCCCTCTGACACTCCTCATTATTCATTGGGATGAAAGCAAAATATTAGGGCACATTTGTTAATATACTTTCACGTTAGAAAATTTCCTCATGCAATCACGCACCAGAGGCTGACAATTAGTGTGAAAAACTGCACTAGGTCCAATTTGTGTAAGCACTTTTACAAGGAAAAGAAAAAAAATAAATCCAACTACCATCTCTCCCGATTTAGTTTTTTTATTGATTTCAAGATCAAAAATATGGATAGCAACTTCAGAACTACAAAATAAATCAGGTATAGATGTAATAACAGTAAAGTATAAGTAATTTTTAAATAATAGTAAATAAAATGGATATTGACGTAATTTTCTCTAGCTTTTTTCAGCTCAAGCCAATTTAGTGAGAGCATGGCACTGCATCTGTTCTGGTATGAAATTGTTTTCTTCCCCCTTAAAATTGGCAAGAATTTTGTGCAGGTCGGGTCAAGCTGCATTACTTTGAGGGAAAAAACAGGCAAGGGAAATTTATCAAAGTACAATTTATGTATGGACCCAAAATAATTATCTAAAATATGACATGAGGCAATTTGAGAAAAAAATTACTTAGAAGCTAAATCAAACGGCATTTTTTTTATTTTTTCAAAATTGCCCTTTTTTCCAAAGATGCCATCTTCGAACCACATTTAAATTTTTTTTTTAGCTTTTTCATTAGTAGGGATTAGTAGGGTAATGCCGCAAGCTTTTGGGGCAGTTTGCCAAGCTTTAAGGTAGTTCCCAGCCAATCCGAGGGTAGAATCACTAGACCGGTCTGCGAGTCAATTAAACCTCTCGTGGCCTTTTTCTAGTAGGGTAGAACCAAAAGCTTTAGGGGCAGTTTCCCAAGCATTAGGAGAAGTTCCCAGCCGGTCCGAGGGTAGAATCACTGGACTGGCCTCCGGGTCATTTAAACCTCTCATGGGTTTTCTCTAGTATTTGATCTTCCTCTCTCTGTCAACATTCTTCCTCTATCTACATTGTCAACTGGCCACGAATCCAAGGGTGGATTTTTGGCCTCAGAAGTGAGATTCTGGCTACGTACCTGGGGAGTTCCTTTTTTCTAAATTTTTTTTATTATTTGTAGAATTTGGAAAGCATGGATGCAAAGTTTTAAGTTAGGTTTTTTAAAAGAGGTGTGTGCTGCACCCCTTAGAGTGCATGGGCGTGTGCACACATGGGTGACCCTGGTGCTTGCTAGGATAAGGGTGGGCATTGAGGTGGAGCAGTTTGAACCAACAAAAGAAATGTGCGAGGTAAGGCTTACCTCTCCAGGATGGAGTCGGATGCACCTAGGTGGGTTTCCCTATTAGATTAAGATGCCTTAAAGTGCATGCGAAAATCCCCCAGGCCTTTGGTAGGCATGGTTTGGAATAGACATCTTCACAATCCTTAGGTTGGTGCTCCCTTGGAAGCTACGACCCTTGGGCTTTGTCTCTTGGCTCGGAAAAGTTGTGCTTGGATGAGTCTTGGTGGCCATAATAGGTGGATTCTTAGACTAGACTAAGGTTGGTTAAGTTAGGCTAGTTAGGACAAGGTTGGAGCATGCTAGACTAGACTGGGGTTGGGGCATGTTAAGCTAGGCTAGGTTGGGTGAGCCAAACTAAGTTGAGTAAGCTGGGTAGGTTGGGTAGGCTAGGCTAGCCTAGCCTAAGGTGTTAAAGGACACTCAATAATCCACCAGACATCTGAGGTCACCTCCCCTAGGAGGCAATATCGATACCACGAGCAAAAGGTAATAGGCATGAGCAGTGTTTCGAAAAGCGCTAGGTGGCACTTAGGCGGTCGGGGGGGTCTAGGCCGCCCAGTGCCTAGGCAGTGCTCAGAACCTCGACAGCCTAGTAAATATTTTTTTGTTTTTGGGTTTTCTCTCTCTAAAATACCATTTAATGGGTTTTAGATTTCAAATGAACTTAAAACCTACAAATTTTCTGCTTTAGTATTAAAAAAATGACCCAAAAATACCTTAAGGAGCGGCATTTCTGCCCCTGGGCGGGGTGCAGGCCCTAGACGGGTGCCTAGGCAGGTTCAAGTGGACGCCTAGGTTGGTTCTCGGGAGCCTCGGCGGACGCCCTGGGATATCCGTCTAGTTTAGCTGCCTAGGCCTGGGCGATGCACCCAAGCCTTCTAGACATTATAGGTATCGGGCGGCCTGATTTTTAAAACTATGTGCATGGAGCCTACGTAATCCCAGAGACTTGTCAAGGGTATGTGTCACAGCCCCACCCCTACCCCCTGACACACACGCTGGAGGGCGATAGGGTGTAGGACTGTGACCACATGTGACGAATGCCACTCAGGTGGTAGTGTGCTCAACGCTTTGAAAACATGAAAATCAAAGCCAATCACGAAATAAAAACCAAATTAATAAGCACACAACCCACAAAATACTAGACAATCCCAATCTCAAAATTTCATAAGATAGATCCAAAATATTACAAAAGAGTCCAAGGCACCAAAGGCCCAACAACAATACATAGTTCCAATACTAGCAGACAATATGGCCAAAATGCGATCCATCACATACAATTGAAAAGTGACTTCCACAAGAATTACGGGACACCAACCCCCAGCCGTGATCACCAAACCGCAAGTCCACAACCTGCGGCTATCACTCTACAGAGATGAAAGTAGATCATGGTGCCATGCTTTCATGCTTACGAATATCATCTCACAACAATGCTCAAGGTGCTGTGCCATTCTTATAAAACATGAGTCGTGTGTCATAATCATATCTATCAGTGTGCCGTGCATGATTCATAGTGAAGCAATAACAAATCAGATCAATTATATATGATAAGAACCATAGGTCAATCAAATCATTCAACCATACAAATCTTAGCAAATCAATATATTAAGGTAAGCATCAACAATTACCAAGTATCTCATTCCTTAATTCGCCTACTCCCGAAGTAGAAGCTCTATCCATCAGGCCAAGCCAATCCCATTACTTAGGACTTCTATCATCACTCAGAATGGAAAACAATGACAAATGGGGGAATCCATTTCGTAATGTTTTCACATACACACGCATAAACACACACAGTCCCCAGCGCACTTTGGGGCTTTTGATAGGCAATGACCTTGTAAGACACTACCCTTTACGCCACCTTGGCTAGGACTAATAAACCTTTTGCGTGCCAATCACTATTAATGGGGGTGCGAACACTCAAACATCATCTACCCTAACCCTCGTCCTTTCATTGGGTGAGCCGAAGAGGTCATTAGTCGGGGTCTGATTTTTTCTGGTTCCCTCGCGCGTGGACACAGGGAGAAGAACCTCTCTCAAACAACCGTCGAAGGGTTGCACGCGAGGCCCGTTAGCTTTTTAAAGCACGGATAGGCTACAAACAAAGAGAGAAATTTTACGACGGGGAAGGGTTGATTCACTTACCTCATTATTGTAGGTTCGTGGCACACGTCTAGGCAGCTTGCCCTCTTAGATCAGTTACGAAAGCCCTCTGGCTGTTCACAAGCGCGGTTTAGTCAGGGACTCTCTTCAAACGCTACGACCCTCTTCTCTCCTCTCGAGTCTAAGTTCAGATGGATGTCTCAATTCTTCGTGCCAGGGTTGACTTCTATTTTTGTTGATCGAACAAAAGAGTGGGGAGTTTTATCATTCCCATCGCAGTGTCCAAATGAGGAAGGGGGATTAGACATGGACGCGCGTCGGTTTGGACCTCTTCTGGCTTGTTCGGACCCATAGTCTCGGATGTGTGGGAGATTACGGGGGTGGGAGAAGAAGAGAGAAAGCTTCGGAAGCTATAAACGTTTTCAAGAAGATAAAAGTGTGTGCCCACATGGTCGGGGGTATTTTCCTCTCTTGCAAGAGTTTTCTCTCTCCTCTCCTTGGGACGTTAGGGCTAAGAGAAAAGATAAGAAGAATCAAGCGTAGTGCCTCTTCTTTATTGAATTGTCCTCCCTTTTACAATTGACTTAAGCCTGTTTATATAGAGTTTTCTACAAACAGGGGTGGATACTAAAAAACAAAGCCTAAATACAATTAAAAGTTATTAAAATAATGTCTTGAAATTGGGTACAATAACCAAAATGCCCTTAAGCTCTTTTACACATCTGACAAACTCGTCCTTCTCTGAGGAGCCCACCGCCATTGTCAAAACCTTAAGAGCTCTTACCGGGAATTTGTAGCATCAGATATTTTGTTGTAATCTTGTCGTTTGTTTCCTTGTGATCGTTTTGATGTCTTTTGATCGTGTTGCGGCAATCCTTTTTGTGCGGGAAGGAGCCTGGTCAGTTTTGTGGGTTCTTTTGACGACTTCTTTCTTCTTGATTCGCAACATCTCAGCGATTCTGGGAAAGGTTTTCTTCAATTGGTCTTCTTTGCAAAAGGTTTTTAATCTGTTTCTTGTTTTTCTTGGACTTTTGGTGGATCGTCGGAAAAGGGATTTTCGACGATGGGGATTTCCTTGCTTTTATTGTCATGACCTTGGGTTTCCTTGCTTTTTTTTTTTTTGCTTTGAATGGTGCTTGTCCTATCTTGGCTTGAGTTTTTCTTCCTAAAAGTGTTTCTTCTTTAGTTTTTTATCAGCCGAATTTCTCTTCTGTGAGGGTAAAGATATCCTTCTTAAGATTCTGGAGTTCTTGGATTCAGGCCATTTTTTCCTTCTTTTTCGTTGAGGAGACTTGTCTTCTTCATGTTGTTCGTCTAGAGGGAGAAATGTCGTTGAAGC